TGTCTGTCACAGATACGAGCGTGTAACTGCGTCCGGGTTTCTGTTCTCGACAGCTAGCTTTCGAACTTCTTTCCTTTTTCTTTTTTTTTTTTTTTTTTGTTAATACCACTTGGATTTTTTAAAATGGATGGAAATTGTTTCAGTGTTTGTAGAGAAAGAGGTCCATCATCCATCCATATGTGTCGATCATCTGCAAATCAGGGTAGATGGAAGATGGATTGGTCAATTCACGCCGTCCATCAATTGGAGGTAGCCCTTTGCATTCAATGCCTCTGTGTAAGCAAAAAGTATGAGATACAAATACATTGACTCCGTTCCCCCCTAGAACCTAGTTGTCTCCGCCATTCAACGGTTGAAAGAAAGAGCCGTTGGGGTTTCAAATTTTTAATTAATTTAAATTATCAATATATTATATCCACATTATACTGTCGACATGCCACGTTCACTTTTTTTTTTTTTTTTGAAAAAACGGTAATATTTTTTTAGCTATGCATTATGCATATGCCTTGTAGAGATGCCGTTTGGTGGCCAAACTCAAGATAAGCCAGCGAATTTGTTCCCTTTTGTTTTTTGTTTTTTTTTTTTTTTTTGGGTAATCACTAAACAGCCAGCGGATTTATTCGGACTCCTAAACAAATGTAAAGAAAAAAAAATGCTGCTGCTTTTTGGAGTGTAGGGTGAGGATAATGCTAGAACCATTGAATCATCGGGTTAGAAGCAGAGACCAGAGACAGAGTATTGTGCCGATGTGATTTCAGGGATCCCGAACCCCAGATGGCCAGAATTTATGCGGTTGCCTGCTGCACTAGGGAGTAGGGAGTATGATGAGTGATGATCGCCCTTGGACAAGAGTTATTTATCATTTTACCATCGAATTCTTTTTAGTCAAGTTGATCCCATCTTAAGTGGTGTGGTCTGTTGTGGGACTGGGAAGTGGGAACCCATCTCCCGACTCCCAAGAATAGACACGTGGGCAGTTAGGTGAGACCGCTGTACCGGTTACTGAGGTCCTTAAGTAAATAACGAACATGAGACAATGAATCAAAAAAAAAAAACATGAGACAGGGAGGGGGGTGCAGTTTCAAATTTGAATATTAAATTACAGGTCCAGCAATAATTGGGTTACCATCATCATGTAACATTATAACTTAGATTATATATTTCTTTTTATTTTTTATTTTTTATCTTTTGGTGATAAGGCGCACAGATGGACAGACAAGGATAAGATCATAAGAGCCCTCTTTTTTTAATTTTTACTCGGTTCATCAAATCATGATTTGGGAGGAGAAACGGTCATAATTATTGATAGTCAAATAAAATATACAGGTAAATTGCTGAAACTTTCATGAAGTTTTTTATTGTTGTTGAACTTTGTTAATTGTAATTCTCTCTCCTAAATTTTCTATTTTCTGACATAATTGCAAGTAGACTCTCTTTCTTTCTGATAAGAATTTTTTAAAAAGAGGCATTATAATATTTAAAATATTCATATAATTACTTTTAATAAAAATGTTTATTTTTTAAATTTTTTCTTTTATATGAATCACTATCTCAAACTTTTKCAATCTCTTTTCTTAAATTGATTTATTTTTCAAATTTGCCCTTCATATCAATTACTCAAAGGTAAAACTATCACTTTAAAATTTCTTTATATTTTTTTTCATAAAAATCAGTCACAATAATAATTGCATGGGTATTTTGGACGTTTTCATGCCTTTTTTTAGAAGATTCTACCAAAAAGAGTCTACTTGTAACTGTATTAAAAAGTTTAAAGGAGGTGATTGCAATTATTAAACTTTAGAGGACATTTCAGCAATTTAACATAAAATATAAGCCACCTCCCAAGTCCCACACACCCTCGAAAGGAAGGAATCATCAAGCAACAGCTAGAACCATGGTTTTCAAAACCGGACCGGATTGGATGATTAGACCGGTCGGACCAGATGGTCGAAACCATGGTGCCAGTTCTGATTTTCCCCAAAACCGGATTTTTACCAAAAAAACATTGATTTGGCCAGCAAACCTTTGACCCGGGCGGTTAAACCGTTCGACGGTTTTGACTGTTTTTTATTTTTTTTGTCAGAACGAGTCGTCCATTCGGTTTGAACGATCGGACCATTTGACCTGGGGAACTGGACCCCTGACTAGTTCACTGTCTAGGTCGGTTTTAAAAACCTTGGCTAGAACATCAGACAAAGGTGCTTATCAATAAGGGTGTTAATGGACCAGTTTTGGATTAGACCCCGTCCAGTCCAAAATCAATTTGGACAGATTGGATTGGACCATCAAGACTTATTGGATTGGACTTGGTCCGTTCGTAAAAAAATTATATTGGATTGGATTGGATTAAGCCAATATCTGGTCCATTTGATATAAGATAAGAATACGTGTCAATGGACCGGGTTTAGATTGAAACCAATCTAAATTAAAATGATTTTGAACAGATTGGTCTAGACATTGAATTGAACCGGTCCAAATTGGTCCAAAACATTCATTGGATTGGATTGGACCTGATCCATTCATAATGGACTAACATTGGATTGGATTAAATTGGACCAAATCTAGTCCAATTGACACCCCTACTTATCAAATGGTGGGTGAGCCAAATTAAGCTTTCTTTGGGAGTGCTTATTGAATAAGCACTTATTTACATTTGACACCTAGCTTTTTCAATATGAAATTAGTGCATTCATATTAGATATTTGATAGTCTTTTTCTTATATAAACACCTTTGTATTGTGACTATTTTATCCTTCATTTTTTTTCAAATTTTCAAAATATACACTGTGCGTGGGCGCTCTCTCTCGCTATTAAACCTACGTTATCGAATAAACACATCAAGCAAGAGCTTGAACGTTGCAGAATCAAAAACACCACCATCCTCCATCAAAAGACAATAGAGGATGGAGTTCGTCTAGGTGCCCACTTCAACAGACTGCCTGAAAGATCTGAGAATAACGCGAGAAGATTGTTTGTAGCCAGGCCTACGAGAAGCCCATCTAAAAAAAATCGATCTTCTTCCAGAGATCGAGGGAGAGTTTCTTCAGAGGACTTGGAGGACGAGAGATTCGCAAAGTGGGATGGAATCACCTTCGAGGTTCCGAGTGCCAGAGCCAGACTGGGAGAGGGTTTTGGAGACGGAGGAATCGCCATCGAGATTCGCAGAGTGGGATGACTCCGAAACTCAATATCTCCGTTGCAGTGGAGAAGCTGCCGCAGGTTGCAGAGGGCAATGAACTGAATGGAGAAGAAACCCTACGTTTTTTACATTCGAAGGGTATAAATGAAATTGTAAAAAAATGGGACAGTTTTAGTAAAAAAATATCCAAACAAGTGTTTATTGTTTAAGTACATAAAAAAAYTAGAAATTTAGCTTAAAAAATAAGTTCTTCTTTTTAAAATAAACACTTATTTTAAACTTATTTCTCAAACATCAATAAACCCGGCTCAAATGAACATTTATTTTAAATCAAAATCATTAAAAAAGCATTTTCAAACATGACCTTATTATTACCGTTACTAATGGTAGATGTGGGAAGATTGGGTATTGATGAAGGGAGATTTGGCCCGACCTCGCGATCGCCCGACACGTGGCAAAGACAAGCAGCTCGGGACAGTAGAGCGCCCGAAGCGAACATTGGAAGCAAGTCCAAGCTCACTACCAAGCCCAGACTCCAGACCGCTGTACTGAGTCCAAGCTCCCTGTTAAGAGCGAGCTCCCTGTTAAGGGTCCGARCTCCCTAAGAACCCGAGATCCCTAAGTCCGAGCTCCCTACTAGGAG